ACCAGTGTCTCACTATGTAGTTGAGACTGACCTGGAACTCACTGTGTAGCCCAGGCTGGTCTCAAACTCACAGCGATCCTCCTGTCTCAGCCTCCTGAGTGCTGGGATTACAGGTGTGAGCCACCATGCCTGGCTCAATCAGGGCCTTGTTATGTAGTTCAGGCTGAGTTTGAATTCACTATGTAGCTTAGGCTGGCCTCAAGCATGCAGTGACCCTCCTGCTTCAGCTTCCTGAGTGTTGAGATCACAGATGTGCCCCACTATGCCCTGCCCATTGCTCCTGTCCTATAGAATTCTTATAAAGCTGAAATGAAATGGTACCTGGAAAGCCTCAGGACCATACCCCTGGGGCATGCTCAGCCCACTTAAACTATTAGTATTTAAGCAGAAGTGACTGTTAATGAGAATTGTAGGCAAGGAGCAGGCTAGGGAGTGGCCTACAGGATAGGGGTTAACCTCCACTCCTCCACCCCAAGGCCCCCTAGGCCTTCTGTGTCCCCACCACCTCCACAGAAGGCATTCAAAGTGTGCCCCTACAAACCTCTGTGGGACTGTCCAAGCCCTAGTTTAGTAATCCAGACCCTTCCTTGGCCAGCACCTCTTCAAATGGCAATTCCATGGCTGTGCAGGACATGGTGTTTGGGGTACCTGGAGAGCCTTCCTGAGGGATGTGATTGTAGGGGAAGGGAGGGAAAGAAGGAGGAGTAGGGAAGAAGGGGTGGGGAGGGACAAAGGGAGGAATGGGAATTAGCCAGCTCCTGAGCCAACATTGACTCACCTCCACTCCTTGGAGGGCAGCTCAGTCATCACCTGGTGCCAGCTCTGCCCCCCATCATGCCATACCTTTTGGGGCTTCTCCTGCCACCCCCTGTGGATGGATGGTAAGCCCTGTAGCCTGGAAGGCCAGAGGGGGTGGCAAATCATCAACCCTTCTTCATCAGCCCACTGAATACTTGAATACTCCCAGTGTTCTGTGGAGAGAAAGGCAAAGCTGGTCATAACCCACGCCACATAGAGTTGACAGGCTTGTTTACAGTGGCCATTTAGGAGCCAGATGTTTTGACTCCCAGCCTGGCTCTGTGGTGCAAAGGGTGCTGTGTGGGCAGTGCCCTGCACAACCCTACCTGCTTTACACACCACGTTTCCACCTGAAGCTTCCCCTCCTCCACAAGCTCTCCCTTCACCATTCTCCAAGGCACTGCAGCTACCACCTGTGGATGATCTCCAGCATGAGACATTTCATATGTGTTCCAAGCCTGAAATTCTTGAAGGCAGGCATGGATTTTCCTTGTCCTGTCTTTTACAGGACTAGCACTCAGCAGGAATGGAGAAAGTGACAGTATGATGTCCCACGGGGTGGACAGGACATTTCTTTCTTCTTGAGGATGCTATCTGGAGATGGGGGGGTGCTCCCAGATTTTTGGAGCTAGATGGGCCCTGATAAGGTTCTTCAAGAGCCATCTGGGAGGGGGACCTTTCCTGAGTCTCCCAGCAACCAGCCACCTGTCCTTATGCTGTTCTCTTGGAGAAGCTACTCCGGCCTCCAACTCCCTTCTTCCATCTCCCCCAAGTTCCAGCAGCCCACCCGCTTCGGAGATTTGGCAGAGTAAGGCACAGTCTTGCACCAGCCCCCACCCCATCCCAACTGGCAGCTCCTAGCCTGCTGCCTTTGCCCAGACATGGCAGAGGGGCACTGGCAGCCGGGAGATGGAGTTGATTTTCCCCTTGGCAGTGTGGAGAGGGGGAGAGAAGCTTGGCCCCCACTGGGTGAGGGGAGAGGGCAGGGAGGCGAGTCTAGACTAGAGGCTGAGGGAGAATGTGACTGTCCTAGCTTGTAGGGTCATTGCATTAAGAATCAAAGTCATACTGGGGACCTGGGGAGTCTTTAAAGCCACTTGTCCTGTCCCCGCCTGGCCTGGGTCTGCCAGAGATGCAGTACTCATGTCCTGCAAACTCATCTTCAGACTCCAAGGTGGACATCTGCTGTGGCCAGCTGGGGCAGCTCTACTGCTGCTCCACTCCTCCTGCTCACCAGGGTCTCCCCTCTGGCTCCTTCAGCTCCAGCCTCCTCCCCACCTTCTCACTCCCACCCTTTTGCCTTTGTGCCTCCTCTTTCCTTCCCTGGTCCCTTCTCCCTTCTCCCTTCTCCCTCCTTTTCCCTTGGCCCCCCTTTCTTCAGCCCCCTCTTCCCCTTTCTCTCCCAGCCCCCTCGCCCTCTCTGCACTGGGGCTGCTTTCCCCCTGACTCAGCAAGGTGCTTTATAAGGTGCTGAGGGGCTCAGCCAAATCCAAACCACATTGTCTGTGCAGCCTCTCACCAGAAGCAAGCTGCAAGACTGCTCAGCCAAGGAGCGGGGCTCAAGCTCCTTTCCTTCTGCCTTACCCTATGCCTTTCCCTTCCTGGCTCCCTCCCTTGGAAATGGTGGCTTCGAGGGGGACCTCCCAGAGTGGCCTCAGTCACCCATGGGAGTCTGCCTTCTTGACCTTGGTTTGGGTATCAGAAGACTGTTGGGCTCACAGGGCAAGAATGTCATTGAAGCTCCAGAGTCCTGGCTGGTGGGGGGTGGGGAGGAGGTGGAGGAGGGAGGCCCTGAGCACTTTTCACAAGGGCCCCTCCAATGCACTTTTCATCAGAGTGACTACTGATGCTCCAGGAAGTCCCCTGTCCCCCACCCAAGGCCACCTCTCCATTCCCAGCTCTTCTCTTTAGAAAAGGGGGGGGAGGAAAAAAGAAGGAAAGAGAAAGGAAGAAAGGGAGAGGGGGAAAAAAGGAGAAACAACCCAACAACAAAGTCTGTCCCATTCCAGTGAGGTAATTGAAAACAAACCTCTCCCCCCAACCCCCCCACCTCAGTTCTCCAGTACAGAAAAAGGAAGAGCTGCGCTGGGAACCTAGCACTGGTCATCACTGTGATGTCTACGCTGACCCACAGGCCGGAAGGGCTGTGGTGGACTGGCAGAGTGCCCTCCTTCTAGGGCACCACAGGAATGGGAGAGGAGGTCACTTCAGAGAGAGAAGCACTACCTTCCAGGTCTGTCTCCCGCTACCTTCTTCCTCTTTGAAACCAACAGATAAACAAGAACAACAAAGCAACTTATTACTGAACGATTTAATTGGTAGAATGCTTCTAGGGTATCCAAGACTTGGGGACCAAATGACTGTTCCCCTAGAAAAATCACAAAGTGGGGCTGTCTACAAGCCCCGGATGACAGCTATTTCCTTTGCACTCGATCACTCTCCCCGGCAGCCCTTTAGAGAGGGAAGAAGGGGGAGGAAGGAGACCCTCCAGGGAGAGACTAGGCTTATGGGTCCCCTAGGTCTCCGCCCAGCAAGTCCCAACCCAGACCAAAGGGGAGGAAGGAGGGACAGTGTTCCACAGCCAAACCACCCCTACCTCACCACCGGAAAAACCAACAGCCCAAAACCCCAAAGGAAGGAGGATGCCAAATGTCTTGATGGGGAAGCATTTCACAAGCGGGACTGGATGGGACGCTGGGTCTGTCCGTGGTGTCGAATTTGCGCTTTCTCGCTGAGTCACCCTCTATGCCTCTGGTGTTGAAACTGGTCCGGTGCCTTGGTACCTCGTGCTGATTAATGAATTACAAATCCCCCACCCATGTGCACTCTCCCCGGTCACTAGAAGAATGAAGAACCTTGTGAACTTGAGGGAGAAGCTGGGCATTGGGCCCTGGTGCCCTCTTCCTCCCCCCAGGAGACATTGTGAGCTAGTTAGTCACCTGCCCCAGCCCCTGGCGCCTCACTTAGCTCTAGCATTTGGAAGTGGGACAAGCGGCGGGACAATAGGCAAGGGGGGCGGTCAACCCAGACAAAAGGCAGCAGGAAAAACACCATCACTTGCTCCGAGGCCAGCTCGCTGGCATTTGGGAGTATGTGTCATTGCTTTTACTCAAGGGGGAGGGAGAGAGAAGGTTAGAGATAAAGCAGAGGTAGGGTGGGCCCTGGGACCCCAAACCAGGCAGGAGCAGGGGGCAGGCGTCCCCAGCTGACATCGAGGGAGAAGCCCACGGCTTCCTTATCATAACCGGCTCCCGGGCCCTGGCTCTGGGGAGTCTGCAGACGGACCGATGCCCTCCCCGCCCCCTTCCCCAGGAGGCCCAGTGTGGTACCGCCGCAGCCTCGCCTCACCTCACCCCCTCTCAGTGTTGTGGGAGGGAGAGGAGCCCCAGAAGCCCTCC